TTAGATGGTAAAAATAGTAATTTTGGCAATGAAAACTATCCTTTATAGGGAGGTGTCCACTCTTGGAGGTTCTACCATATATATAAATTTGATGAACATAGAAAATCCCACAATTGCAAAATTTATGAAGTCCTAAATTTTAAGCCCCCAGTGTTTTTCCTCTCTTCCTTCAATGCCATCCTCTACTGAGGGTGGGTGTCATGGTCTTTCCATACTTCCCAGTCCTTCGCCATCATCTAAAGACCTTGCGTTACTCTGAGGCTGATACTGTGACAGGGCCCCAAGAACCTGCCACAGGCTAGTCTTTGGTCCCCCCGAAGATTTCATTTCCCTGGTACCACCCATTTCTGAGAGGCATGACCCCCCCCCCCAGTGTTTTACCAATATATTTAAGCAGTGCAGCAAAGAAGAGGAAGAGAATATGTGGGCAAGCCAAGAAAAGAAGGAATGCAGGGTCCCCTCCACAAGAAAGTGTTGTGATCGACAGATTCCAGAGGAGGAGGCAGCAGACAGACAGTCCAGCTGGTGCCGTAGTGAAGGAAGGAGCCGAGATAGCGGTCGGTCTGAAGGGGGTTTGTGCGCCGAGAGGACATCGCAGTCTGGGGGGAGAAGTCAGTCTGGTGACATCGAGATCTGCGGCAAGGAGAAGACGGCGGCAAATTACCTCCGGGGCGTGTGGATGATCCCACAAGGCGGTGCCAGGAGAGACTGACATCAGAGCGACCTACAATGCGGTGTAGCCCAAGCTGCATAGTGTGGAGCGGAACGCTTCACAAAAGTGACATCCACGGCGCCAAGAATTCTTTTGACGGGGAGGTTGAAGGCAATTCCCACTATTGTATTCCTTCTGTTTAGTGCCAATAAAGCGATAACTTTAGCTGCAATCCCTTTGAACTCACGTGTGTATCTTTGTGGCATCCTGAGTAGACAAAGTACACAAACAACGTCTGGGTACAACGTAACAATATAAAACAGATAAAAATAATGATTCCAGGTGATATATATTGTAGTGACAAGGTTCAACTCTTAGTTTATCCATGTAGGGATGTGTAGAACAGACTTACATGGATGACATTGATCAGGCGGTTGAACCTGTCCACCTCCTGGAGCAGCACAGTGGTGAGGGAGTTGACGTTGTCCAGTTTGTCCCTCTGTGTCACATGTGTCAACAACCACCACAGTTACAGTCAGGAGAGATGCCACCAACCAGGAGCAACTCTGGGTGGAGGGTGTCCGCATCCAGTTTCAGTAATATCTTCTCCTGGATCTCCTCAGACTTCTCGTAGACAGTCTCGTCATCTGTCTTGGCTCCTGCTGCAGCTGTCATCTTGGGCTGGATCTCCAGGATGGTGTTTACTAGCCGGTTGGTCTCTGATACCTAGCATCACACACTTACTGGATGCTCTCAACAAATGACATTACAGTAGAACCTCCATGAGAGGACACCCACACTAGAGGACACCTCTCTACAAAGGACAGTTTTCATTTTCAAAATTATCATTTTTACTATTTAGTAATTCTCTGGTAAGAGGACACCTCTCCCTAAAGGACACTTTGGCTCTGAAATTAGGTGTTGTCCTTTACTGGGAAGTTCTACTGTATTTCATGATTTTTGTTTCTTTTACAAATATAGAACATTACTACTATCCTTACCATGAGATGAAAAAATATTAAGGGGGACCTGATTCAATTTTGGTGAATCCTCCCAACAGTTTTTCCAACTTAATCATACTGCTATCAGATTGCATACATGCACCCATCTAATATGTATGAGGCTGTTGTGTTTATATACTTGGCACTGGATTTTAGGTATTAAGGTATTCAGAAAATTATGGACATAAAAGTTTAGAGTACAGTATAAATATACACTGATGGACAAAATTTAAGGAAGTTTAACCTTTTATAGTATGTATATAAGGATTCAGACAATAAATCTGAAAGATATTTGATATACAGTGACTTTTATTGAAGACACATGTGATAACTTAGGGTGAACAAAATTGCCTCTGTCTCCTTAAACAAATAAGCAACATCAAAGACGTTCTACGAGGGGTGTCCCATAAGTCCATGGCCCGACATATAAAGAAAATGACTAATAAAATTATTATGATTTATTTTTCAACATAAACCCTTTAAGGTCTATATACTTTTTCCAGCGATGTTCTAATGCTTTTATGCCCTCCAAAAAGAACGATGTTTCAAGTGACTCAAAAAATGAGGTTACAGCATCAATGACCTCTTAATCTGACCTAAAATGAATTCCAGAAAGTGATTTTTTCATATGGGGAAATAGGTGGAAGTCAGACGGAGCTATATCTGGTGAATAGGGTGCATGTGGTAAAAGTTCAAAGCCAGAATCATAAATAGCAGCCATGGCTTGCAGCGACCGAAGACTCAGAGCATTGTCTTGATGGTAAACAATCTTCATGGACAACATTCCTCTTCTCTTTTCCTTGATAGCTTCTCGTAGTTGCTTCACAAGATTTGCATAATAATTGCCAGTGATGGTTTGACCCTTATTCAGAAAGTCTAGAAGAAGTACACCCTCGGAATCCCAAAAGACAGACACCATAACCTTCCCTGCTGATGGAACTGTCTTGGCTTTCTTGAGGGGAGGGGAACCGGAGGTTCTCCATTGCATAGATTATTGCTTGGACTCTGGTGCAAGGTGATGGGCCCAAGTCTCATCAATGGTAACAATTATACTGACAAATGCCTCTGGATTGGCTTCAAATAACGCAAGATTGTCCGAAAATAACTTTCTCCTTACAGCCTTTTGATCGGGTGTCAAAAGTTTGGGAACCCAACGGGCAGAAAGCTTCCCGAGGCCCAAGTGTTCTCTCATGATCCGATCCATTGTTGTTTTTAGAATACCCAAGGTCTCTTCTATCCGATGAACTGTCATTCTTCTGTCCAACATAACCAAAACATGTATCTTATCGATGTTTTCTTGAGTAACTGACTCAACAGGTCTTCCTGGTCGATGTTCGTCTTCGGTGCTGATCCTCCCTAATTTAAACGCAGCTATCTATTTTTTTATTGTGCTATAGGAAAGAGCATCTTCCCTTAATGTATCCACCATACCCTCATAGATTTCCTTCGGCGACATTCCTTTCTTACAAAGATATTTTATTACAGCACGAATCTCGTTTGTCTCCATTTTAGATGATTCCTGTTTCTTGTCCTCTTTCAGAACCCATAACAAAAAAACGGTTAGTTGTAGAAACTTAAAAATTTACATATCTTTATACAAGGCTTTAAGGTATATATGGTAAAATTTATTAGCTTCAAATATTTCGTTCTCATGGTCGGGCCACGGACTTATGGGACACCCCTCGTACTTCCTTAAGTTTTATCCATGAGTGTAGATGCATTGATTAAAGCTCACCACAAATAATTCCTCAAATGTCAATTATATATTTATAGGATGATTCAATATTTGGCATTCAACCCTAGACTTGTGGTGTTTGGCAGTCATCAAACAGTGGTGAAGGTTCTCAGTGAGAAGACTTGGTGTAAAATAACACAGGGTAAAATATGACAAAATTGTGTGTGATGCTTTGGTAACATTAATTGTTACCATTCAGTACTTCGGTCAGTTACTGAAACATCACACACTATTTATTTGGATTTGGTTATTTCACCTAACGTTTCTATTCTGCAATTCGAATTTTAACTAATACACAGTAGGACCTCCATGAGAGGACACTCGTGTTAGAGACACCTCTCTATACAGGACAGTTTTCATTTGCAAAATTACCATTTTTACTATTTAGCAACTCTCTTGTAAAAGGACACCTTCCCCAAAAGGACACTTTGGCTCTGCAATTAGGTGTCCTTTACAGGGAGGTTCTACTGTATTTGGGACAAAGTAGCAAATTTTATTCTTTAAAATGTATTTATTTAAAACAGCATAGAACCTCCATGAGAGGATGCCTCTCTATAAAGGACAATCCTCATTGCCAAAATGATCATTTTTGCTAATTAGCAACTCCCTGGTAAGAAGACACTTCTCCTTAATGGACACTTTGGCTCTGTAACTAGATGTTGACTTCACAGAGAGGTTGTGTGTTCTACTATATTTAATTTCAACTATTGGGCAGACAACACTGTAGTTTATCGAATAGAGAAGAATATTGGTTTCCATTAATGGTTTCTTTGCAATGTTAACACAAGATAATAAGACCAAATCTGTTTATTTAATCCAATTATTTATTTGGATTTGGTCTTATTACCTTGTGTTTATAATCTACTAGCCGAATGACCCGGGCAACGCCCGGGTTTTACCCAATTAAATGCTTTTATTCAAATACTATTCGTTACAATTATAAATTGGCGCCGTGGATGTCATTCTTGTGAAACATCCCGCTCCAAACTTTGTGTCTGAGAAGCGATATTTTTATAAAGAGATGATCTGGCTTTGTGTCTTCTACTCGAATGAATGTTTTTCTGTTAGAATTTTGTTCCTGCATACTAAAAATAAACTGGCTTTACCCATGGTCTCTGCTTTTTGGAATTTTTCCGGATATAATTTTGTATCTGACAATCAAATATGATACAGCAATATTGTCATAATCATTTTCTGACTAAAAAAAAACAACCATTTTTACCCAGAACCTTTCAATTTCAATTTTTCTTGGCTAAAAATCCGATAAATATCTCTTCAAGATTTTCTCTATGTCCTGTTAAAACACGTTTTACATGTACATTAGGTCAGCTTATATTACCTCCCATCTTCACCGCTAGAGGCGCAGCTTGTGAGCGAAAGAGCAAATTTGCAAATAACTTAAAGAATATTCGGGATAGAGACCTGAAATATTCAATATAAGTTTTTTCAGATTCTACTATACATACTGCTAAAATTTCAGTCATATTAGTTACGTATTTTACGTAAAAGCATTCCATTCACAAAAGCAAACGATGACAGAATTGATGACTCTGATACTTGTATATTTTAATAATAATAATATAAATGAGTTTTAAAAATTGTAAAAAAAAAAATGCATCGACCGGGAATCGAACCCGGGCCGCCCGCGTGGCAGGCGAGCATTCTCGCCGGTGATGATGAATGATGAAACAGTGACAGAATTATTGATTGTTGATTATTGATGACTTAATGATGACTCTGATACTTGTATATTTTAATAATTCAAATTGTGCCTTATCATTTTTAATGCTAATATAATAAATTAGTACAGTAGAACTTCTCTGTAAAGGACACCACCTAGTTGCAAAGCCAAAGAGTCCTTTAAAGAGAGGTATACTCTTACTGGAGAGAAATGTTAATTAGTAAAAATTGTAATTTTGGTGATAGAAACCGCCTGAGAATGTCCTCTCATGGTACACCAATAATTTTGAGTGTGTGCCAATACCTATACCACAGCTCAGGTGGAGTGTCATGTATACCTGGAAGGTGATGTTAGCATTCTGGTGCATGCCAAATATCACAGGGTCATCAATGATGGGGAGGTTGTCAATGTAATCCTTGTATTCCTCCAGGGTCTTGTACTCTGGGGCATAGTAGATGGCTGCAACCACATAACTACATACAGTATATATAAAAATTGGATACTATTTTAAAGGCGTAAGATCCTTTTAGAAAATAAACAATTTCTACTGCCTTTACTGCAATTGCAGTAAAGGCAGTAGAAATTGTTTATTTTCTAAATGAATCTTACGCCTTTAAATAGTTTTGAATTTTGATAACAGATGGTGTGCTAGTGCATCATACAGTATATATAACCTCTTTAATTTATTCTTGTAAGAGAATCAGAGGCTAGATCTCAGAAATATTGTTTAATTAACAATAACATTAGATTAAGATGACAAAGAACAGAAAAGACAAGCGCAGTAGAAGAAACCAAAACTACAGGTACAGTCGGTGTGCCACCAGGTCACATGATGTCCGGTAGGAAAGGTGGCGCAACAGCTGATGTGCGAAGTTACTCTCCAACAATTCTCTACTGACTAAATTATTCAACACAGCTACAAGAAAATAAGACCTAATCCAAGTAAATTAATAGTGTGTGATGTTTCTGTAACAGCGCTGTTACTGAAACATCACACACTATTAATTTATTTGGATTAAGTTTTATTTTCTTGTAGCTAATTCAATAATTACTTTAATTCAAACATTTTTATTATTCCCAATCAACTTATTTCCTTTAATTTAGACAACTATAAACCAACACTGACTTTAATTCAACCAAAATCACTTGGGTCATTGAAAAAAAATAATAAAAAGTTGGAGGAAAGTGTGTTGATATTACAGTTGAAACTTCTCTCATTATAATACTCTTCAAGGACAGGAGATAAATGCCCTATAAAAATGAAATCCATGGAAGTACTTAAATAAAGTAATATTTCAATTTAAAAATACTCAAAAGGAAAGGCTCCTCATTGCAATAATTGCAAACTGTATTTTATTATTGAAACATTTATTTAATAACAAGAGGAAAATTAATTGTTAAATTATTAATTTCTGTACTATATGACAATTTCTAAGAATCTTACACAAAGTGTGAATGCAGGTAAACAAAGAGAGATAGAGTTTACATTGCTCAACATTTTTATTTTGGTCACATTTTCTGTAAAATTTCTATTTTATCTGCAAAAGGATAACAATTTGTTTTAGAAATCTATAATTTGATAATTTATTGTTCTGATTTATTTGCTAATATATATTGATAAGGCACAATTGCCTTGTGTTGCTAATATATAGTAGAACCTCCCTGTAAAGGAAACCAAAATGCAGAGTAAAGGTTTAGGGAGAGGTGTCCTCTTACCAGAGAGAGTTGCTAATTATCAAAAATTGTAATTTGACAATTAAAACTGTCCTTTGTAGAGAAGTGTTCTTCTCTAATTCTCATGTATGGCCAAAAGTTATGTTTCTATGAAGGTGCCCACCATTGGAGGAATAGGTGTAGCTCGAAGCCAGTGTCTTAGGAGAGAAGAAGACCTTGAGAATGGTGCGGAGACAGCGCTGGTCCCAGAAATCTGTCACCCTGCCCCCATAGGTGATTTCTCCAGTGAGGTACACCAGAGCCTCCCATGGGATAAGGTTTGACAGTTCCGAAACTGCACGGTTCATCCCAATGTCTTTACAGAACATCTGCAGGTTGAGGAGAGCACACTCCCTGTCACTGTCGTTGAATTCATACTGCACACAGCAACAAAGTCCTATTGAACATTCTGTATTGATATATTATTACCATCATTCTTATCTGCTCTCAAATATGACAAATACCTCTTTATTAGGTTAATATATATATTCTGGTGTTGAAACAATGATACTCATTCCCCACCAGAGAGACCTAACTCTATATCCTGTCAATGTTTCATTTAATTACTCCTAATCATTACAAGTTTAGCTTTTTATATTTCAAGTTCAAATACAGTTAAACCTGTCTATAGCGCCCCCTCTAAATAGCACCTCCCTCTCTATAGCGCCCGATTTTAAATACATAGTACGATGCGATTTACATTAAAAGTGACCTGTCTATAGCACCCCCTATCTATTGCACCCTATTTTGGTGAGTCCCAAGAGGTGGCGCTATAGACAGGTTTAACTGTATATTGTGTGGAAATATGAATATAGAACAAACATACAAAAATGTATTGTCCTGGTTTCTCTAGCCCAATACCATTGGTATAACTGTAGATATACTCTTGTAGGGTGAACAAGTTCAGAACAAACACATCTTTATTTTAGGAAGAGATTGATTTTATATAGTCATCTCTTCTTGCAAAAAAATACACAATAAAAACATAATAAAACTTTGCCTAGGATTTGTCTTGATTTTCAAATTAGACATAGAGGTACATGTATGTTAATGATAAGAAGAACCTATCATCTAATGATTTATTTTATTATTCAGTATTAATGTGAGGAAATTGGTCACTTAAGGTAATTAAAACAAAGTGCCCACTATTAAAAGGCAGCCTCTTCTTGTGTGTATGGCTGTCCTTTAATTATATGGTCTGAAAATTTTGAAAAGTTAAAAGAAATAGCCAAACCGTGGCTATAGTGAACCGTGGCCATAGTGAACCAAAAGCTCTGTCCCATTGTGGTTCACTATAGAGGGGTTTTACTGTATATCCTTACATATATAAAAATGAAATACTAAATCATATTTGCCAGTCTTTACCCCACCAAAACACTACCCAATAAATCCATTAAGAAACTTCACGTGTGTTAGTAGCTGAAGATTAGATTAAGGTAGAAGTTATTTAAGGCCAATGCAAATTAGTCCCCAAAACCAAGGCCAATGTAAATTAGTCCCAAAAACAAACTATAGTGGCATTTTATTATAACACAGCTTCTCTAATAACATCATAATTCTAAAGTACCAAGATTTAAGCTCTGATTGTTTTAACCCTGATTATAAGTGCAACATGGTTATAACAACCTAAGATCTTGGTCCCAAGTGATGTTATAGTGAGATTCAACTGAAATTTGCATATTTTGAAGTCACAAAATAGTGATAAAGATTTACTATCATCATTATTGTTATCACTATTATTATAATAAAATATAATCATATCATTACATTTGTTAAAGCAATATTTATTGACCAAATATTCACTGTGGAAGAGTCCAGGAGAAGCTGGATTATTTAGCTAGTAATTAAAAGTAAAAATTTATAATACAATATAATGCGGCTTATGATTGTAGAATGAAGTTTGACAATTATACCGCAAATGTTTCTTTTAAAAGAAAAATCGAAATTTATTTTAAGGAGAAATAACGATTATTTATAAACTTAGGGATCAAGTATGATAGGATGAATGGTGAAGGGTAATGATAAACGGAAAAATAAAGTGTCCAGGGATGGGAATCGAACCCACAGTGTTCCGCTTATCAGGCTGATGCCATGTCCACTATGCTACCCTGGACATATTTTTCCGTTTGTAAATATTATGTAAAGCAATTTATAATACAATATAATGCGGCTTATGATTGTAGAACAAAGTTAATATCGTCAACAAAAACAATGTACTTAACATGCACATTATCTGGGAGGTGGGGGATAATAATTTTTTCTGTTAAGAATCTCAAGATTATAGAAAGTTTTTTTATCAACAGGTTTCCTACACCTCTATTTAGGCTATTTTAAAGTAAGTGACACAATAAAGAATATTAGAATTATAATCCTCTGTATCAATTAGATTAACCAAATATAAATCTCTGAGGAGAAATTTCTTTATTACACTTTTAATGAGTTTACAAGCTTTTGGGTTTTAAAAAGGTTTTGTAGAAAGGTCGTTTAAAACCCGAAAGTTTGTAAACTCATTAAAAGTATAATAAAGAAACTGTTTCTCAGAGATTTATATTTGATTAATTTAACAATAAAGAATGTCCAAGGAGAATGGAAATATACTCACCTTGATGTTCCAGCCCAGA